ATGCAACACAACTCCTTGTTCAAGCTCTTGTTCTATCCAGGCTGGACTCTTGCAATGCTCTCTTGGCAGGTCTTCCAGCCACTTCTATCAAACCTCTACAATTAATCCAAAACGCAGCAGCAAGATTAATTTTTAATGAGCCGAAAAGCACTGGCTACCAGTAGCTGCTCGCATAAAATTCAAGGCATTAATGTTTGCCTACAAAACCACCACTGGCTCTGCTGCACCCCTTTACATAAATTAATTACTTCAGAGTTATGTGCCCTCTGCGCTTTATTGTTCATCCCAAAGAAGCACAAAATCACTTTCACAGACTTTTTCATTAACTGTTCCCTCCTGGTGGAATGACCTGCTCGACTCAATCCCAGCAGCTGAGTCCTTAGCCATCTTCAAGAATCGGCTAAAAACACATCTCTTCCATCTTTATTTGACACTCTAACTCTAGCACTCTCTATTCTAATTCTATTCTTTTAAAAAAAACTTGCTCCTTTTAGACTTGCACTCTATTCTTTTACTAACTGCTTGTTTTCTTTAAAAAAAAAAAACTAACACTAGCTTCTCTAATCTTTTTGTATTCTATCTATCTGTTTTCTTTTTATTTATTATATAATTAAAAAAAAAAACTTGCTACGTGTACTGCGCTAACAGACTTATAGCACTTGCATATCATTGCTCTTTTGTTGATTTTCATTGCTTCCATTGTCCTCATTTTTAAGCCGCTTTGGATAAAAGCGTCTGCTAAATGACAATGTAAATGTAAAAATAATATTAATTCAAAGGCTAAACAAGATTATTTTTCTTGCCCCATTGGCAGATATTTTTGCTTGTTTTAACTAAATTTTTATTTATTTTTCAGAAAACAAGAATTAATATATTAAGCCATTTTACTTGTAAATTCATCTTGATTCAAGATTTTTTTTTTTTTATATACTAGAAAACAAGACAAGAATAAATAAGAAAACATTTTTTTGCAGAGATATTGCTGCCTTCAAGTCAAAAGTTATGTTGGAATAATAATTGTCAAGAGATTAATGATTTTTTCACGCTCTGACTTTCCGGGTTTAAAGAAATGATTTTGTAAGCTTGCACTGATCATAATTAATTTCTTTGCTGGCATCATTTTGTCTTCTGCTAATGGAAACAACACCGCTTTCCAGATTTAGCCAACCTGATCTCACGGCAATTCGTACATATTTGACAAGGTGGCTAATTTGTACATATTTATACGACCTCGTTTTTATGAATTCATACGATTTGTGAAAAATCACACGTATTTTACGAGGAAATTCGTAGGAATTTGTATGAAGGACCACACCTAACTTCACCCCTAAACATAACCGTCACAGAAATCGTACAAAATGATACAAGTGAGGTTGTACGAATTGGCCGTGAGATTTAGCTGGTTTTTCTATGACAAAAATAAGGTTCGCTATTGGCTATTTCCCAGTTAACAAAAACATCTTCTAAGAACGTTTTGCTAACGTTCCCGTTAAGTTATGAAAACATTATTTCTGAATATTCAAAACGTTCAGTTTTAAAATGTTTTAAAAAACGTTTCTTCTTGGTTGCATGAATGTTAAGGGAACATTTCATCATTTTTAAACATTATGTGTATGTTACTTTTGAACGTTCAGAGTAACATTAAGAAAACATTATGAACTGAAACAGAATGTATTTTTCCATTCCAATGTGCTACTTTTCCATTGTTTCCACGGTTTCCACCGTTCCATCTTTTGCAGTATCTCTCACATGAGCACCACATTTTTAAGATGCCGTGTCAAGTTAAAATATTACCAACTTTTACGTGCAGCGCCGCTCATCAATGTCAGTTCCAAAACAGTGGACCAATCAGAAGACCCCGGAGGCGGAGCAAGCATGGCAAGCTTTTGTTTAGAGTAGCAAGTTGGCATGGCAACTGTTTTATTTCATGACAACATGGCAGAGGCGTTCTGTGATGCGATTTAAAAAAACAAAAAAAAACAATCCTGAGTGCCGCGTCTCGTGTTTTTAGATGCAAAGATGAGTTCTGTGTGAACAAGATAATATTTTGTGTAAGAAACGTTCTCAGAACACTGAGGTTTTTGTGTGACAAAACTAAGAAGAACTTTAACAGAACGTTCTCTAAAGTTATTTTTAGTTTTTATAACCAAAAACTAACATTCTGGGAACCGATAGTTGTTAGTCATCTGGATTCTGTTTTTTTTTTTTCATTTAAATATTTATGGAATCCTTTTTAATGGTTAAATTAAATTGTATTAGTCAGAAAGCATACATAATTAATTAAAATCATGAAACTGCAATTGCAAACATGCAATTTAACATAAATTTTAACAAAAAATGAAATTTTTAGGGCCCTAAGAAAGTTTTTTTTTTTCACGTTCTGTTTTATTGTTACCAAATTCTGTTTAAATTAATTTTTACAATAGCCGGATGACGATTTTTTCTCCCCAGAAATTCTGTGTTGTGTATTTAATTTTTTCTGGTTATCAAATGAAGCCATAAAACATTAATTTAATTTAACTTTTAATAATTTGAAAGATAAACAAACTCTTTCTTTTTTGGGAATAACAAACGGGGTTTACTATTAAAATGAAAACATGGAATAAATATTGTGTGATTATTCTTTAAAAAATGTATTAAAATTATTTTAACTTATTTTAAAGTTTTAATAATTTTATAAGTAGTAGTAGTAGTAGTAGTAGTAAATATGTACATTCTACTGCACAACAGTAATAGGCCTATATTTCTGTCACAATTTCTTCAGAAGACCCCGGAGGCGGAGCAAGCATGGCAAGCTTTTGTTTAGAGTAGCAAGTTGGCATGGCAACTGTTTTATTTCATGACAACATGGCAGAGGCGTTCTGTGATGCGATTTAAAAAAACAAAAAAAAACAATCCTGAGTGCCGCGTCTCGTGTTTTTAGATGCAAAGATGAGTTCTGTGTGAACAAGATAATATTTTGTGTAAGAAACGTTCTCAGAACACTGAGGTTTTTGTGTGACAAAACTAAGAAGAACTTTAACAGAACGTTCTCTAAAGTTATTTTTAGTTTTTATAACCAAAAACTAACATTCTGGGAACCGATAGTTGTTAGTCATCTGGATTCTGTTTTTTTTTTTTCATTTAAATATTTATGGAATCCTTTTTAATGGTTAAATTAAATTGTATTAGTCAGAAAGCATACATAATTAATTAAAATCATGAAACTGCAATTGCAAACATGCAATTTAACATAAATTTTAACAAAAAATGAAATTTTTAGGGCCCTAAGAAAGTTTTTTTTTTTCACGTTCTGTTTTATTGTTACCAAATTCTGTTTAAATTAATTTTTACAATAGCCGGATGACGATTTTTTCTCCCCAGAAATTCTGTGTTGTGTATTTAATTTTTTCTGGTTATCAAACGAAGCCATAAAACATTAATTTAATTTAACTTTTAATAATTTGAAAGATAAACAAACTCTTTCTTTTTTGGGAATAACAAACGGGGTTTACTATTAAAATGAAAACATGGAATAAATATTGTGTGATTATTCTTTAAAAAATGTAGTAAGTAGTAGTAGTAGTAGTAAATATGTACATTCTACTGCACAACAGTAATAGGCCTATATTTCTGTCACAATTTCTAACCAAACTTTTATTTTGACGGGTTGCCATGACTAACATGCCAATACTAACATTCCCATAATGTTCAGAAATTGTAAACTAAGACATAGCTTCTTATAAATAAATAGAATTAGTTTTATATTGTATTGAGAAGATGTGATGGGATGAGTAGCTCAATAATCGAAAAAAATTAAATCTAGATCCCCCCCCCAATTACAAATGCATTGTCAAATCAGAGTTTGCAATGTTGTGATTCATGTGGAGCGGGCTGGTTTAGTTCATGACTCTTTATTGAAGAATATGGAGAAAATGAACAATGCTCTTGAAGGCAGCAATAAAGGCGGCATATGAGGAAAACGGACGGGTTTGAAACATTGACCTATTTTCACAGGGAAAACAGAGAAAAGCAATGTGAAATGAGAGCAGAAGTGATCGAGTACTGCTCTGTGAGGGATGTAGTTCAGAATCTCTCACGAATCTGGATTTCCACAGGAAACATCTTCATGTCCTTCATTTGGACGAGAGTCACAGGAGAGGCGTCACGCCATGGTCTCTTTCCCCGGGAGCCTCCTGTCGTTAAAGGTATGCATGTTAATCACCTCCTCTGTTTTGACGATGGCGGGCGGCTGAGGTTTCTGTTTCCGCCGTCGCTGGCATTTCAGAGACACCCTGAGCTCCTCCAGCATCACGCTGCAGAACGAGCGCTGTGCACAGAAGAGCATATCACAGACACGAGTTGATTTCGTTTCAGTCCTAGTCTTTTCTAATTTATACAAATACATACGTCTGCTTGAAAACCAGGCCCTGTCACTTTAAGACCTACTGTACTTTAGTATTTGTCCGATAAAGATGTGAAAGAGCGACCTCTGGTGTTTGCGTCTGATACCTTCTCGATCTGCGCGTTCTGTTTGGATTTGTACAGCACCTCGCCGACTGCCACGAACACTGACAGCACGAGGCCGGCGGCGAGGACGATGAAGATGCCGCCGATGTTCTGCACGCCGAGAGCGCTGGCCTCCTTACTCTCCTCCTCCGGACAGCCGTTCCCCCTCCACCACTTCTCCTTCATCATGTGCAGCTTGCCCTCCTCCTGCAGCTGCAGGATGGCGATGGTGATCTTGTCCCGATACGGCGAGCCTGAGGGAGAACCACGGGACAGGTGAGAAGCAGCAGGGCTGCGTCACAAATCCGTCATTAAAGTCCACTTGAACTGACCTACAGAGGGTTTACACCATTTACATTCAGCTTCAAACTATTTCACATTCTAGTTTCAGTGCAAATCAGGCCCCATCAGTGGCATAATGTCAATTACCAATTTTTTGTTAAATAAGAAACTTAGAAATTATGAAGCTCAAAGCTTTTTTTTTTTAATTCTTTAAAAATGGTATTTGAGCTTTAAAATCCTTCTAGTGTTGTGAATGCTGTTCTAGTTGATGAACAATATTCATTACTGTTATTTTATTTTTATATTTTAAGTGAATAACAATTTTAATTGAGATACTGTTATGGTTTTTATTAATATTTATTATTATTCCTATTAATAATTAGTTGTTATAATTTTTTTTATTTTTACTTTATAATTACATTTTTAGTAGTTTTTTGTCTATATAGGTTTTATTAATTCTTATTTCGTGTTTTTTAATGTTTTTATTAATATTTTGAATTAGTTGTATTTCAGTTTTTCATTGTAATTTTAGGTAAAAAATTTTTTAAAATATGTCTATTATTTTTTTATAATTTTAAAATTTTATTCGGCTGCTGTCACTTTAAGACCTACTGTACTTTAGTATTTGTCCGATAAAGATGTGAAAGAGCGACTGATACAGCAGGTTTATTCGGCTGCTGTGACTTTAAGACCTACTGTACTTTAGTATTTGTCCGATAAAGACGTGAAAGAGCGACTGATACAGCAGGTTTATTCGGCTGCTGTGACTTTAAGACCTACTGTACTTTAGTATTTGTCCGATAAAGACGTGAAAGAGCGACTGATACAGCAGGTTTATTCGGCTGCTGTGACTTTAAGACCTACTGTACTTTAGTATTTGTCCGATAAAGATGTGAAAGAGCGACCTCTGGTGTTTGCGTCTGATACCTTCTCGATCTGCGCGTTCTGTTTGGATTTGTACAGCACCTCGCCGACTGCCACGAACACTGACAGCACGAGGCCGGCGGCGAGGACGATGAAGATGCCGCCGATGTTCTGCACGCCGAGAGCGCTGGCCTCCTTACTCTCCTCCTCCGGACAGCCGTTCCCCCTCCACCACTTCTCCTTCATCATGTGCAGCTTGCCCTCCTCCTGCAGCTGCAGGATGGCGATGGTGATCTTGTCCCGATACGGCGAGCCTGAGGGAGAACCACGGGACAGGTGAGAAGCAGCAGGGCTGCGTCACAAATCCGTCATTAAAGTCCACTTGAACTGACCTACAGAGGGTTTACACCATTTACATTCAGCTTCAAACTATTTCACATTCTAGTTTCAGTGCAAATCAGGCCCCATCAGTGGCATAATGTCAATTACCAATGTTTTGTTAAATAAGAAACTTAGAAATTATGAAGCTCAAAGCTTTTTTTTTAATTCTTTAAAAATGGTATTTGAGCTTTAAAATCCTTCTAGTGTTGTGAATGCTGTTCTAGTTGATGAACAATATTCATTACTGTTATTTTATTTTTATATTTTAAGTGAATAACAATTTTAATTGAGATACTGTTATGGTTTTTATTAATATTTATTATTATTCCTATTAATAATTAGTTGTTATAATTTTTTTTATTTTTACTTTATAATTACATTTTTAGTAGTTTTTTGTCTATATAGGTTTTATTAATTCTTATTTCGTGTTTTTTAATGTTTTTATTAATATTTTGAATTAGTTGTATTTCAGTTTTTCATTGTAATTTTAGGTAAAAAATTTTTTAAAATATGTCTATTATTTTTTTATAATTTTAAAATTTAATTTTAAATTTAATTACATTTTTCATTTTATTTATTTTAGTTTTTATTAATATTTTGAATGTTTTATTTTTATAGTTTCCTTCTTCGTTTTAACTTAATTACTTCAAGTTTTAGTCATTTACTGTGCTTTTGTCATTTTTAGTAGCTTTAATGTCTATATAATTTTTATTCATTTTTATTTCATGCTTTTTAGATTGTATTAATACTTTGAATTAGTTGTTATTTTTCTATTTTCTTTTTTCCCTTTTAATTTTAGTCATAGTCATTTTATTGTGTGTTTTGATTTTTAGTAGTTTTTTATTTCAGTATTTTAGTTATTTTCATACATCATTAAACTTAATTAAAATGAGAAATTATGCCTTGGCTGCTAGCTGAAAAAAAAAAAGTTATGTTCTTTAATATTTTATTTTATTTCACTTAATGATCATTTTATTCAAATAATGAAAATTTTCTTTTTTTTATGGTTTTAATTTTAGTTAACTATAATAACTCTATAAACTCGTGTTTTTTAATGTTTTTATTAATATTTTGAATTAGTTGTATTTCAGTTTTTCATTGTAATTTTAGGTTAATTTTTTTTTAAAATATGTCTATTATTTTTTTATAATTTTTAAATTTAATTTTAAATTTAATTAAATTTTTCATTTTATTTATTTTAGTTTTTATTAATATTTTGAATGTTTTATTTTTATAGTTTCCTTCTTCGTTTTAACTTAATTACTTCAAGTTTTAGTCATTTACTGTGCTTTTGTCATTTTTAGTAGCTTTAATGTCTATATAATTTTTATTCATTTTTATTTCATGCTTTTTAGATTGTATTAATACTTTGAATTAGTTGTTATTTTTCTATTTTCTTTTTTCCCTTTTAATTTTAGTCATAGTCATTTTATTGTGTGTTTTGATTTTTAGTAGTTTTTTATTTCAGTATTTTAGTTATTTTCATACATCATTAAACTTAATTAAAATGAGAAATTATGCCTTGGCTGCTAGCTGAAAAAAAAAAAGTTATGTTCTTTAATATTTTATTTTATTTCACTTAATGATCATTTTATTCAAATAATGAAAATTTTCTTTTTTTTATGGTTTTAATTTTAGTTAACTATAATAACTCTATAAACTAATTTTGTGTTGTTCACTTTCATTTTCAGCTTCTTTCTATAACCACTAAATAAATAAATAAATGCAAGCAAATAAATAAATACGTAAATAAATAAAGGACGAGTCTAGATGATTTTCTGTGCTAATCAACACAAACACTGCTGATGGAGCTTCGATCCCGAACATCCTTTAATATCTGCAGTCCTCATTCACACATCATTACACGAGCTGCATTCTTTCATAAAGCACTGATGTTATTCCAGGAATATGTATTTAGTCCTCCTGTGGATCAGTTGTGTCCCGCAGAATGAGTCACTCGTCCCCGAACGATCAAATGAACGCTTGTTATTCTGAAAGACGTGTGCGCGCGGATAACAGGATTACACAGAGAGGAGGCAGAAACACAGAGGATTTGTGCAGATAAATATGGATAAATATTTCCCTTTTTATTCCCTCCTCCCCCACAGAACTGTGCTCAGATTTCTATAAAGCGTGCAGATATTCTGCTATTTTCTTCCTTTTTTCATGAAATAATTTAACTTGTCCCATCTGGCTCAAGATATGAGACTTTTTTGATCATTTAATTTACATTAATTACACTTAAACATATTTATTGATATATAAATATTTTAACATGTTCCATATTTTAAGTAGAAAATATTAGTTTAATGACTAATTGTACATTTGCTAGAACAGGGATCTTGTTTCTTGTTTAATCACTGCTTTGGCATATAATAATAATAATAAAATAATAATAACAGCAACAGTAACCCTTAGTGATAGTACATCCGAAAATCACAGTCTCTCATTATTTGAAAATGAAATTTGAGTATTAAATAAAAACATAGTGTTCAGAAGATATAATAACCAGGCTTATTATCATTAATTAAAACTGAAACCACAGTAAAACATTTTTGGCATTTGAAATAAAATAAACTAAAATATTAAACGTTGTTTTAAATAACTAATAATTAAAATCAATGCAAATTTTATAAAAACCTAACACAAAAATTACTGAAACGTTAATTAAATCAAATTAAAATTGCATCAGAAAATATAAAAATAAAAATGAATCTCAACGATAGCCCACCGATAATCACTCTAAATAAACAGTCAGCTCTCCATCATCTGTCATTACAGATCTCCATGGCGACAGGTTTATAATGATGGGATGCTGCTGCTGAAATCGTGTTGTTGTGCAGCTATACAGTTGAGGTCAAAAGTTTCAGAATCTGCAAAATGTGAATTATTTTACCAAAATAAGAGGGATCACACAAAATGCATGTTATTGTTTATTTAGTACTGACCTGAATAAGATATTCACATAAAAGATGTTCACATATAGTCCACAAGAGAAAATAATAGTCGAATTTATAAAAATTACCCCGTTCAAAAGTTTACATCCCCTTACTCTCTTAATACTGTGTTGTTAGCTGAATGATCCACAGCTGTGTGTTTTTGTGTTTAGTGATAGTTGTTCATGAGTCCGTTGTTTGTCCTGAACAGTTAAACTGCTGCTGTTCTTCAGAAAAACCCCCAGCTCCTGCACATTCTGTGGTTTTACAGCATCTTCTGCATATTTGAACCCTTTCCAGCAGTGACTGTATGATTGTGAGATGCATCTTTTCACACTGAGGACAACTGAG